GAAAATACCGAGCACACTGGCCACGCGGAATTGAAATCGTTCCTTTTCGAAACACTTTCGACGTTCTTGCGAGACTCTACCCCGAGACTGTCGGACGTTAGCGCTGGAGAAGCCTGGACAGGGGGCCTAATTGAGGCTTCCTGCGCAGGTGAGAGAGAGTCCTTATTGAAACGTTCTGAACGACGAGATGTTGGGTTATCGAGTGGAAATTGTAGGTATGCTTCCTAGTTTCAGGGAAGATTAATGTTTCTGGGTTATATTTGACGGTGAACCCTGTTAACACCTTACCAGTCGAACAAACTACAGTTGAATAGGTGTCTAAAATTGTTAACGAGAGTTAGGGAAGATCTGCGTATCAGGAAAATTAATAATACAAAACTGAACGATGGTAGAGTCTAGGTATCTAATAATATTCTGGAACAAATGATCAGATACGATAGAAAATGATAAATCTGCCCAATTAATTGGCAATGTGTCTTCAGTTACACTTGTCAATTTCTTACGTATTTTTTACGTTAGAAGTATACTTTTCCCTTCTGATGTATTTATGTATAGGTACTATACAAAGAAGTTCGAAATTGGAATGATTAATGAAAAATTTCTTTATTTCACCAAAAGTTGAAATACAATCACCATACACTTGAACAAAAACATCTTAATAATTTCTATAATTTCAAGTAAGGAACCTGAAATCCGTCATTTTGTCAGATTTCATTGTTAAGTTAACATCTATAGAGAGGAAACTTTGTACATCAGCTTCACCTTTACCTAACTTGATACTTTGATTAATAATTTTGCTTTTGTTCGTGTAAAAAAATAAACGCAATAGTTTCGTCAATGTTTAATATATTGCAGGCGAAGGCGTTCGTTTATCTATCGCAACGAAGAAAAAGCTGGCCACGATAAGCTCCTCTCTGTTGACTCTGGTTGGTGATTCGCGCGGCAGACATAACATGATTAATAAAATCGGAAAGAACGCCCTCAGCCAGGCGGGTTCAATTGCTTTGACATTGATTGCGGGCGTACAACATTCTGGACCACCTTGCAACCACCGTGGTCGACTATTTCCATGCGAGAAAATCGTTTTAGGCAGCGTCGAAGGCCGACCCGTACGAAATAATCAGCTTCGAGCCTAGAGGCTTTAATGGGCCACCGTACGCGGCGAAATTATGGCGGCCTTTAATGAGACTGTGAAGGTACTTGCGACAGTTTCATGCCTTGTTACGATTTTAATGAGTAAAAGTGGCATTTTTTTTTTGTATTCTTTGAAATCCCGAGGAATTCTCTTGCTTATGTTCTAATTAATGTTCTCAATTATGTTTCCGCGATCATTTAATCTAACGATCTTTCATTCAGGCAGTGTTGAGTTTCCATAGGAAACAAAAAATTCGAAAAGAAGAATTTGGCATGCCAAATTCAAAAATGGAAATTTTGACCTCAAAGACGCACCTCGTTCTGGCCGTCCAGTTGAGTTCGATGAAGAGCGATTAAACCAACTTTTACACGAAAATTCGCGTCAAACGACAAGGGAACTGGCAGAGTAAATGGAATGCTCCCACACTGCTATAGAGAAGCATCTTCACTCGATGCGAAAGGTTCAGAAGTGTGGAGCATGGGTTCCGCATGCTTTAAGTGACAACAACAAAAATCAACGAGCCACAATCTCCGTTGGTTGTCAAAATTTCCATTTTTGAATTTGGCATACCAATCACGAGCGATTCTTTCAGCTATGGCACCCTCTCCATACACAGAGCACAAATGTCGCGAGCAGCTTTTGCGGCCTTAGAACCTTGATTAAAAGCAAAAAGAAGGAGGTGCCGAAAATGTTCATTTTTCTCAACTTGACATTCCATTTTAATAATCTGAAAATTAACAGAAATCAACATAAATTAACTCGAACAAAGAACAAAACATCCTCTTTCGAATGATTTAAAACATTATGCCAAATGTTAAAATTTGAAAAAACGGCGGGAACTTAGTCGCCAACCCAATATTTTTGAATTGATTTTTCATAAGAAACAAGGAAGGAATTGTCTTGTACAGAGAAAACCACCTGAGAATAATGTTCTATCCTATACAGTTGCTACAAAAATTCCTGAATATTATTCAAACCTTCTTCCATCTGTAAAAACATTTTCTCAGCATTCAGACACGAACTCCGACACCTCGCACAAAAAATCCTCCAACGGCCTCTTCTAAATTCGCAAAATGAAAATTCCACCTCACAAGGTACTTGAAATATTTCAATTTACACCACGTACGCTCTCGTTCTGGTTCCCTGAAACGGCTAGCCTCGAATCGAGCCCTGGCTGGTTCGAAAAGATCGCAAAAAGAGTAGAGTATGCGCGCGAGCCCACGGCTTCGAGAAACGGCGTTCGCCATTATGGAAGCTGCGCGCGATTGCCTTAAGAGAAATCGCAGAGGTGCGCCCCCTTCGAATTATTGTACTTTTGTATGCTAACGGCGCGAGTATCCTTAAACGTCGTCGTTATAACGGCCGGGCCAATTACGGTAATTAGCCGCCATAAACGAGGTAGCGTCTGAGAAAGCACCTTCATGGTTTGCCCTCTCTATATATATATGTACATATGTATATGTATATATACGAAACAATACGGGACCAAGCGACGTCGCGGCTTCTCCAACCGATAAATATAAGTCAGCGTGTCTCCAGCGTGGACATCCGCCGCTGGGATCCATTGTTTCAAGCCCTGATAATCAATTAGAGATCCTAACTGCGACTCTGTAACCGTGGGAGGGTTGCTTTCTTCATATGTTTTATTTTTTATTTTAACGTGTGGTCACTTGTGTGGTACGAATTGAATTCTAGTTGCTCAGAGTGTGAGTAGGTACATCTGTGTATCAAAGGCTAGAATGATTTTGTTGGATTTGTCAATTGCTTTAAGATTTTGATTGTTGTATGGGTATGAAGAAATAGGATACTGATTTCAATTGTCATTTTTACTGTGGAAGAAGTTCGAGAATAGCGAAGGACACTTTACTTTTTAAATGATAGACTGATAAGTTGAATTTGATTAATGTCTCGATGACAATTTCAATGTAATAAAATGAAGTTTATTAGTTCGTATTAACCTAAATTTATAAATATTTTGTTCTCTTCTTTTCTCAAACAAAATCGAAAAACGAATCACAGATCAATCAATACTTTCTGAATATTCTCGCCTAAACCAAATTCAGTTCATCTAAATGAAACACGAGGAACTTCAATTTCTTTCCAAAAGAAAAATCATGTCACAATTCCAATCTTCGTCGTTACAAGATCATGCCCTAACTTCCCACTGAAATTCAACTGACCGTATCTCCAAAATTTCCAGTAAAAAAAAAAAAAGCGAGGGGACTAAATGCAGTGTATTAAACTGTGAACGTACGAGAGATCACGGTGCGATTTTTTTCGAGCATGGATATCCTGAAAAGGGGGACGAAAAATCGGTCGATCGGTCGACTTTAAAGGCCGCCAGGGGATTTCTGGTAGCATCTGCCTACTGTCCCGAATTTCGTGACGAAGGGAGAATCGATCCTCATTCACGTCGAGCACGCCGAAGGACACTAAGCCGGATTATCCTGGCGATGCGAGGCAAAATATCCCGCGGGAGGATACCGACAACCGACTCGCGATACACGAAGACACCAAGAGACTGATGAAAACAAAATTTCTGACGCTTCACTTTCAACCATAAACGTTTACTCTACCACTTGTACTTTGTATTTCGAACGGTAGGCAGCGTGAATAAATTAGCATACAGCACGCTAC